TGGGGGGGGGGCAGCTCCGAGCAGTCGAAATATTTCATGTGAGTAGTATGTTTTTAAATTAAATTTGTGACAAAAAAAAATTGGTATCATTGACATTTCGTTTGCTGTTTGATATTTATTAAGTTTTGATAAATTCTGCGTTATATTTCATACATGCTGTATTTGCTACAAGTAAATTTGCAGTAATTACAATTTGAGTAAACGCATGACATTGTGTTTTGCAGTATGCACACCATCACCAGTGGCAGATGTGGCATTCGTGTTGGATGCATCAAACAGCATCCCGAAAAATAAATTCAAGCAAGTGTTACGATTTGTTTCGGATTTTGTTGACACAGTAGAAATTGGACCTGAAAAAGTTCAATTGGGAATCGTTCACTTCAGTTTAACTGCTCAGACTGACATGCTTTTTAACAGGTTTCACGGTAAGCAAAATAAACCATAAAATTAGAAAATTCTTAAAATGTGAAGTTACAAACTGGTCTCAAATTTGAATATTCCACAATGATTTTATTGTAGGATCAAAATGCTGTACTGCATATACATATAATTGTTTCTTAGCATTTAACATTTACATCGACTTTGGCCAGCATTTTGGCTTATTTGATCCTCTCTCTTTAGAAAAGGAACGTATGAAAGAATTTATCGATGAGGATTTATCTGGAGAGAACGGTATCAGGCAGGGGAAGCGCACCAACACATCTGGAGGCCTGTACGTGATGAGAAATGAGATCTTTAACCCTGCCAATGGCGCTCGCCAAGGCGTCCCAAAGGTTGCCATTGTCATTACGGACGGAAAACCAAATGAAGATGAAGAATTCACTATACCCAATGCTAATGCAGCCAAACAAGACAACATCACCATTATGGTTGTAGGAGTGGGACAAAACGCCAAAAGGTTTATACTTTTTTTTAATTGTTAACCTTTCTTGCTCTCAAACACGCACACATTGTACAGATACACACATTCTTTTTACACCGTTAGCCCATGTTCTCATTAATTTGTTTTGAAAATAAGTTATAATTAAAAAGTCACTACTTTGACCCCAACGTCTCATTCGGTGCTCAGAAAATGTTAAACTTTCATATCGATTTCTTTTTAATAAAAAGGAAAAATTTGGAGGCAATAGCATCGGAACCCCATGACTTAAACATGATAACAGTGGGAAGTGTGGATACCTTGTTGCAGGAGGACAAAAGTTTCTTTGACAAAATCTGTGAAACTATAGGTAGGTTTTTATTTCCATGCTTCTATGGAATATTCTTTGTAGTCCATTCGATTTGATTTTTTTCCTTTGATTTAAAGAATAAGATCTAGAGGTATTAAATGCAAACATTTGTGAAGTTACCAGTACATGTATATTAAGTTTCTGTTAAATGTCTTAAGGCAATATTCTTTGCTGTGAGTACATATGGCTGGTTTTTCTTAGCTTAAAAGAAAACAAACTAAAGATGAGGTTCTGTGAATAATTCTGTAGTTGGCATTTTTAATACACCAGTGATGTAAAGATTTTGATATGTTCCAGCTGAATTTGTATCCACTTGCCAATCTCTACTCTATTTTAAATCTTACCTTATATCATACATACGGGTAGACATATCTGTTCCTAACTAGTAAATATTTTTCACAGTTTTGGACGAGTGCCCAGAAGTAGTTTATGAAAATTCGGCTGAGTGTGAAGGTAAGTTAAAAATTTATTAGACTATTGAAACAGTTCGTAAATCTCTTGTAAAAAAAGCAGTTCCCTTGAAAAAACAGTCTATTTAAATAAAAGCCTATGTCACAAAGCATTACGCATCATGTAGCAAAAACCATGATAACAAAAGTCAAGCAACTGTGTTAAACTACCACCCGCTCTATGTTATAGAACGATGTCCGGCATGTTTCGTAAAGCAACATTCCCTCCAGACCTGCCATCGGCTGATCACGAAAGAGATGTCATGGGCGGATGCAGATGTGTTCTGTGCCGAAAGGTATGGAGCCAGACTGGTGTCAGTAGACTCATTAGAGGAACACGATGAACTTGGGATTCTCATGGACAACTCAGGTGAGCAATAAGTGTGCAGATTGTTCAAAAACCAATAGGTTGGTCCGATGGGTATCCTTTTTAAATGATAGGGCACCGTGGTTTTTCCTTCACATATTTTTCTCGAAAGCAGAGATTTTCCCAGGATTGGGGTTACAGGCCGTCCAAAATAATACCATCTGTAATTTCCTGCAAAATTTCAGGGATTCCAACTTTACCGTGAATGGGGAGGAGGGGGGGGGTTAGAAATAAAATGTGAAAAATATATAAATTAATTAGGGGGCGATAATGATCCTTGGAGTGAATATGAAAATTGCTTTTTCGTCTCGCTCGGATTGCGAACGATCTCCTGCTGACGATCTTCTGCTAACGGCGCCCTTGAACGAATATGAAAATTGCTTTTCGTCTCTCACTGATCGCGAACGATCTCCCGCTGAAGATGTGAAAAGTATTATTCAACTAGGACGCATCATGCAAGCTTGGTACGTTCGGTGATGTCAGCGGCCGTCCAAATGACGGTCTGGACGGTTCGCTGGGAAAAGCCCTGCTCGAAAGAAATAATATCCCATGTTATCTTATATGGGGTCTTTTCAGTGTGTGAAGAAACGAATATTGAAATGTGAATGTGTTGTAATTGCGGACATTGTTTTAAGAAAAACTGGCCTTTGGAGCACACAGTAAAGGAAAATGAAAAAATCTGCAAAAACAAACATTTAGAACACCCATAGTAAAAAGTCGTTTTAGATTTTAACAATTTTCCTCAATCGCCAAGGTATGTTGCAAAGTTAAAATCTATAAATTGTTTAAGAGTTCTGTGTATCTGCTTTTACTGTAACGAGTAAAATTCATCAGCTTAAACCTCCACTACGAGAGTGACCAAAAAAAGGGAACATTCAAATCAAAAACGGTCTTAATGATCATTATTTTGCAAGCGGGTTTGTATGTGGTTTTCCTCAGTTTAAAGTCAAAGCGTTGAATTTTCTAAGGATATTATTATCGTCATTATCATTTTGCTAACGCTCATATAGTTCAGTATGTTATCTTCTAGAAAAAGCCGTTTTAGTGCAGTTTATAACTATATCTAATTAGAATTATAGAATCTTTTATGTGGACCTTTAGTTATTTATCTTACGGTAAATTTTAATGAGATTTCGTTGGTTTTGTTTTACAAATCGGATAAAGTTATATTCCAGTAAAAAACGCAATTCAATGTTCTCTACCGATAACGCGTCTGAAGCATGTTAAATTGTTTTCAGAGTCCCCAAACGCAGCTTATTGGTCAAGTGGCAACGACTTCATTTCACGTGGTAATTTTGTCTGGGCTGGAATTGGGCTTCCTGTAAACCAATCCGTTGAGGCACATGGTGGTGGGCACTGCGTGCAAGTACGCTCCAACGGCCGTCTCACCACTGCAGATTGTGATAGTACGCGGGGTTTCATTTGCGAGAAAAGCTATTATGTGGGCCTGTAGTGAACTTTTTTCATGGCGGTTTGATTTATGGACAAAAATGGACATGCTCGACACCAAATGTGACTGACATTAACTTGGTATGTTAGTGGTATAATATTCAGGTTTATTCCAATAAATACAGGGAGCAATCATATTTTTGTTTTGTTTTTTTTTTATTTTCATTAAAAAAGTTACATACTTGTGAGTTTATGGCGCATATATAACAACCGTGTAAATTGATTGTGCATACAGGTACCTGGATGAAACTTCATTTAAATGTTTGTCAATAAGGTATTACTTAAATGTTGAGATAAACAAATACCTATGAAAAAAAGTCACTCTGATAACAAGTGTGCACAAAAACAATAACAGTACACTAAAATTAAAACACTTACAAAAGTCACTCTAATAACAAGTAGGCCCTACTGCATGTACAAAAATATGAATAGAACACTAAAATTAAGTCATGTTTTAATGAAAACTGGCAAGTACAGCTAGACGTGCCTATGACAGAAAAAAGAACAATTTCCAAACATACAAGTACAGCTGCATTTAAAACTGAATTTGTTCGAAAAAATTGTCAAGCTTATAACCCAAGTTAACCCTCAGCTACAGTTCAAGTCCCTTCTCACATACAAGAAGAATTAACTGATTTTATTTTTTGCATTCAATTTGTTTTAAACAAGCTTTTAGCTACACATTTTGCATGTTAAAACATGTCCCCTGTTTTAATAAATTACAGTATTTTTTGAAGGATTGCATTACAAACATCCATTGTCTCATCACTGATGACCACAATATCATACTGTGCTTGGTACTGGTCAATACGTTCTTCCACCTAGAAAAAAAAGGTTATTACCAATAAGACATCAAAAACTTTTCTACTGATAAATAAGAACACTGTGCATACTTCTATTTTGTGAAGAAAATATGTAACAATAAACACAAATTCAAAATTGATTTAATCACTGGATATGAAAAATAATCAATAATAAAAAACAAGTAAAAGGTATTAAAATGAACAACTATACAAGCATGGTAATGTCCCTTAGTTCACAGTTAATTTTGAAAAAAAATCTTATAAGAAATCTACTACCTAGCAAAAAATGACTTAATTTAGAACCACAAAGTTTTCAATCATCAAACTTGAAGCACAAAATATCAGTACTTTAATAACAAATATGTGAAAGAAATACACTGGTAAAGAGGATGCTATTATTAATTTTATATAAGCGTAACATTTTTTTCTGACCATAGTGAGATAACTTATCACTAAGGCCCTTTTTACATCAAGCAGTATAATTTAGTGATAGAGGCTGTACTTTGACACCTAGACAAAGCGGGGGTTTTGATTTGGTTTCACGAGTTTGTGTCCTGCTTTTTGGGTGGAAGTTGATAAACTGGCTGTGTTAAGGTGACCCTTTTACATAAGAGCCAAGCTGTAAAATTGTCAGTCTCTCAAAGTGCAGTCTCTCCAGGTAGTAAAGCCTATATCAGTTAAGTATACTACATTATGGGCACACCAGTACCACGATAATTAGCCCTCTCAGTTAACTTACATTAGTATTAAGAAAGCCAATTGTGAGTTTGCATGGTTCCTGACCACTGGAGGTATCCGAGGCACCATCAGCCATGTGAAGATCACCAAGAGAATCACCCATCAGAACTATGTTAGACCTGTGGCTCAGGTTCTCAAAGTAATCTGAACCGTGGATTGCATTTTCATTCTTGTTGAAAACGTGAATCATGTTCCCTTTAAAACCTTGGCAGAGATCCTAAAAACATTTTCAATCTGATGAGTTCATTTTCCACATTAATTTTCAAACAAGCTTGAAAGCATAAAAAAATCACCTAATGCATGTGAGAAACATTGTGTATCTCTTC